TGGGTTTCCCTATTCCCTTAGGGAATAGTGGGAGGGCCCGGGAGGAGGCTGCTGCTGTGCTCTGGGATTTGGCTCTGCAGGGGGATTACCAGGAGGGATGGTCATGTGTTAGTGCTGTACCAGGTTCCCCAGGACCATTCTGTCACGGGCTGGCTCCGTGCAGAGCACTGCACACAAAGCCTCTTACCTTCCCACTGCACCAGCCGGGCCATGGAGATGCTGTCACCCTGCAGAGCCACCTCCCCAGAGTGGGGTCTAGGTAGGGAGCACCCAGTGATGCGCTGCAGGGATCACGTTGGGCTTCTCACATCAACCCCATGGCTCTCCACAGGGTTTCCCTGCTGCTTTCCCTCTGCTCGCACTCAAACAGCTCCATGCAGGGGGTGCAGCAAAGCCTCTCTCCAGCACAGCATCAGGGCTTGAAGATGCGGTTAGGGGATGCTAAGGGGCAGCCAGGCACTGACCAGGCAGGCGCCTTGTTCAGCCTGGACAAGAGAAGGCTCCTGAAGGGGAGACCTGAGAGCAGCTCCAGTGCCTAAAGGGGCTGCAGGGAACCTGGAGAGGGGCTTGGGACAAGGGCCTGTAGGGCCAGGCCAAGGGGAATGGCTTGAACCTGCCCGAGGGGAGACTGAGCTGAGCTCTTAGGCAGAAGCTCTTCCCTGTGAGGGTGCTGAGGCGCTGGCACAGGGTGCCCAGAGAAGCTGTGGCTGCCCCATCCCTGGCAGTGCTCAAGGACACAGGGGCTTGGAGCAAGCTGCTCCAGTGGAAGGGGTTGGGGTTGGAGCTGGAGGAGCTTTCAGCTCCCTTCCAACCCAAACCAGGCTGGGATTCTATGATTCTCCTTCCAGTGTCTTCAGCCTCAAGAAACCACCGCTCCCTCCCTCCACACTCCAAAGCAGTGAAATCCTTCTCTGCTCATTCCCATCCACCTCCAAACCTCCCTGCAGACACACAGCACAGAGGGACCCATCCTGTACAATGCAGCACAGTTTGCAGGGTTTAGTTCTTTACTTCAGCCCCATCCTTCCACACTTCCTCATCTAAGGAACACGAGGCAATGGCCTAGCCCTCTCCCTGCAGGGCTGCAAGGCAGCATTTCCTCCTTATACATAACGTACTCCATGATACACAATAAAACCCACCAAGAAAGTAACTCATGGCATTAACACACGCACTGCTATGGGCAAACCCAGTCTCTAATGCAAACTGGCTGCCTTGCTGCTGGTAAATGGCCTGATGCTTTACCCAGCGCCTGCGACCCCTCCAGCATCACACACAGACCCATGGGGCAACCCCATAAACGTGCTTCTGAATGCTCCAGCTGCTTGTGCTCAGTGAAACCCTGCAAAGAGCTGGGTCCCCATTCCCCCACTGGAATCCAGCCCTTCCTATCCACCCCACTGCCGTTCCCCACCTACAGCTCACCCCCAGACTCTTCCCATTCGCCATTCCTTCTCCATCTCTCAGCCATCTGCCAACCCCCCCCCCTCCCCGCTCCCCCAGCCCTGCTCTGCACATCCTGCCCCATAGACATTCTTTACCAGCCTCTTATCTCATAAATTAGCCATGGGAGCGAGCGGGATCCCGAATAGCTGAGCTCTGGCGTAACTGTTTCCCTGACGCGAGGGGCAGGCAGGGAGGAAGGTGAGCTTTCTAGCAGGGTGCCAGCCAAGGGTCAGACGCTTTCAACTCCCTCCTCTGCCTTTGATACAGAATACGAATGCTCTGCGTAAACACTCCCAGTGCCATGGAAGAGACCAAACTCCTCTCGCTTCGCTGCCAGAAGCATCGGCATCCCACGCTCTCCGCCTCCGAGCTCCCCTTGGCAGGATGGTCCTGGGCATCATCAAATCCATTTAACAGTGATCCTAATGGAAACCAGGACAGTGATGGTCTTCCCAATGCAGGCAAACCCACCTTAAAGATGCTCAGAGGCCGTGCTGACGATCAGACCCACGCTCACAGCATCTTCATTTCAGGAGGGTGTGAAGTGATGCTTAATCCATCGCTTTCCCAGCCCCTTCCCAAATCAACCAGGTCGGAAAAGACCTTTAAGACCACCAAGTCCAATTGTTTCCCAGCACTGCCGACGCCACCACTAACCCATGGCACTGAGGCCTCATCTCCATAGTGTGTGAACACTTGCAGGGCCGGTGCCTGCAGCCCTGCCCTGGGCAGCCTGTTCCAATGCCTGAGCACCCCCTGGGGCAGGAATTGTTCCTCAGCTCCATCTAACCCTGCCCTGGTGCAGCTTGAGGCCGGTTCCTCTTGTCCCATCCCTTGTTCCTTGGGAGCAGAGCCCAGCCCCTCCTGGCTCCATCCTCCCATCAGGCAGTTGTAGAGAGCAATAAGATCACATCAAAGCCTTGGCCTTTTCACATCGTTTTGCTGCTCCATCCTTGCACATCCCAGATCCCACTCTCTAGGAGCAGACGGATACATTGCAGGGCAGCAAGGCCTGAGAGCTCTCATTATGAAACTGGAGACAGGGAATCGGACCTGAGATCATGGGAACACTCACTGCCCTGGACAAGCCTTGCTCTACAGATGGGACCTGCTGCTGGAGCCAGGCAAATGCCAGGCTTTGGAATGAGCACAGCCCCCAGCCCTCTTCCACACCTCATCCAGCACAGCCCCCGCCCCCAAAAAGCCTGCCAGGAGAGCCCAGTTAATCCTTGTCTGACACTGACATACCGAGTGCTACCCGAGCACTAAGGCATTGCTCTTATACACGGTGGGGTTGCTTCCCGCAGGCTCGGATCCCGGGCAAAGGCAAGCAAAGGAAAGGGAATTCCCAAATTAATTGAATCTGCAGGAAGAGATCCCTTTAGTGTAAAACCTCTGCTTGGAGAGGATGTGATCTGTGAGGAGGAAAACCGCTTTGCTATAGGAGAAAAGGTGGTTTGAAGATGTCCCCCATAGGAAGGGAATCGGACACCTAAAGAAGTGATGGGCAGCGAGGGACTGGTTCTACTCATGGCTTGATGCCTGTAAATGAATAAAGTCTGTCAGAGCTTGTTCCCCATTAGATGACACATCCGGAAGCCATTAATCCTACAGGACAGCGAGATTCCAGGGCAAATCCCACTCCGTGCTGCGCTCTCAGGCACGGACCTTCCCTTCCAAACCCCAGCGGCTCAGCCTGGCCACGTGCTCCTTCCCAGTACCGCGATCCGAGCATGCACAAAAGGGAAGAACCTTGCTCCTTCTTGTGCTGCACCAACGGAACTGAGCAGGAATCCTCCCTGCAAAGCTTTCTCCTCTTCCCCCATCACCCTCAAACGCTGTGCTGTAATAGATGCTCCTTAATGACGCCACCCAAGGGATCTGCTGCCCAAACGCAACCATCAGCCACAACGGGTTCCATTGGAAACTGAGCTTTAGGATGGTCTAAACAGAGAGTTATACAAGGGAGCAACCAGAAACACCCTTCAGGTTCCCTCGCTTGCAGGGATGAGGTGGTTTTACTTCAAAAGAGAGAAAAAGGCCGAAAGAAGGAAGGGGGAAGAGGCAAAAAGATAAAGTGAGAAAGAAGGGAAAGAAGGGAAAAGAGGAAAGAATCCCAGGATGGTTGAGGTTGGCAGGGACCTCTTGAGGTCATCTCCACATCTCCAGCAGGGTCACCCACAAAGCAAGAACAAAACAGGAGAAGAAAGAACCCTTCCACCTGCCAAATGATGCTCTGGGGAGGGAGAGAGGGATTCCACTGGTACAAAGGAAAGGCAGAGACAGGCAGTGAGGAACTGGTGCTGGGCAGGCGCTGGGTGGGTGCTCAGGGCCCAGTGGACAGGAGTTAGGAGATGGGTCCAAGCGGAACCCTAAAAGCAAAACAAAGGCTCTGAAGGCTGAAGACACGTTGGGAGTGCAGGAGAAGAGCCCTTGTGGTGAGGCTTCCCATCCCTGGTGCTCCTGGGAACCCCAAACCATGGCTGGGACAAACAGGGAATGCTTTTCCCCTTGGAGAAGAGGAGGTGCATTAGTGATGCATCACACGGATGCCAGAAGGGAGGAGAGTGAGAAGGGAGCAGCATGAGCCCCTGTTTGCTCTGAGAGCATCTCCTGCTTGTGGTGCATCTTCACCTTCCTCCCCAGGGTAAGTCCTTCCACCAGCCAAAGAAACAGAAGGGACACAAAGCACAGGATGAGGACACCAGAGGGGATCCATCTCTGCCCCATGCACACAACCCGCTCTCCATGGACCAGTATCCCCCCCAGCAGACCCCAAACTGTCCCATCAGCAGTAAGGCCCTATTGACACAACGCTAGGATGGGTGCGTTGTCCCCCACTCAACCGGTTGGGTACCAGGGGCTCCCTCCAAGGTGCACAACGCACAGCAACCAAACCCTCTGCCCTGGCAAACGTCCCATCAGAGAACAAGGGGCACACGGTGCGGGCACAGCACCAGGGAGGGGAAACAAAGACACCAGCACAAGGGAGACGCAACAACACAGTCAACAAGGAAGAGCAGAGCCAACAAAGCCAGACCGGGGAGAAGCAAACACGGACCAAGGGAAGCGCAACAAAGGGAACGGAGGTCCCAAAGCCGCACGGTGCAGTCCCCATCAACCCCTCAGGTGCCTGGAGCAGCCCCGTTTCGCTCCTGCTTGAGGGAGAGTGAACTCTTTACAAGCACTTTTCCACCCTTGGTTTGGGTACAAGCTGCTGTCGGTTTGCACTGACGGGAAAGAGACTGATCTATAGGGATGCCCGAAGGGGCTTGGGGCTGGGGTTGGACACTGACGGCGTGGGGTTTGCTGCTGGAGGCCCTGTGTTCTCCATCGGAGTGAGCTCCCCAGTGAACCTGCTTCCAGCACCCTGAAACCCAGCCCATGAGCACATGAGGCTGTGCCAAGGGGAGCGGGCAGCAGGAGCCTGACCCCACGGTGATGCCCACACCGCAGCTTCCTACGAGCACCGTCCTCAACGGGGTGGCGGCGGGCACCCAACGGACACCGCAACGGACCCGGAGCGCACCGGGGCACCGAGGCTCAGCTTTTACCTTCAAAGAAGCGCTGCAGAGCCTCCGTCTCGTCCACCACCTCCATGGCTCTGCCATGCACCGCGCCGGCAGCCTCAGTGTCCGTGCCCACCGCAGAGCATCCCCCGGGCTCCCTGCGCTCCGTCGCCGTCCTCACCCCGGTCCCGGTCTCGGTCCCGGTCTCGGTGCCGGTGCCGGTGCCGCTGCCGGCGCCGAGCGCGCCCGCCCGCAGCCCATCGGCCTCCGCCGCTGCCCCCGAACCTGCGGCTGCCGCGGCCGCTCCTCCCCTCCGCTCCTCCTCCGCTTCCTCCTCCTTCTCTTCCTCCTCCCGCCGGCAGGGAGAGCCCGTCCGGAACCGGGGCTCCCCCCCCCCCCCCAAACCCAGCTCCTTGTGTGTCCTTACGGTGCCTTTCCCCACTAGAAAAACCCCACTTCTCACACCCGAAACCGGGTCTTTGTCCCCCAAAACAGTGCCTTTTCCCACGATAGAAGCCTCAGTTCTCAAAGACCAAACTGAGTCCTTGCCCTCCCCCCAAAAAAGTGCTTTTTCCCATGATAAAAGCCTCCATTCTCAAACCCAAACCCGGGTCCTCTTCCTCCCCCAAAATTGTCTTTTCCCACTATCAAAGCTCCAATTCCCAACGCTGAAACTGGGTCCTTGTCCCCCCATAAAGTGCTTTTTGCCACTATAAAAGCCTCAGTTCTCAAACCTGAAACTGGGTCCTTGATCCCCCCAAAAGTGCCTTTTCCCACCCAGTTCTCAAGCCTGAAACCAGGTCTCTGTCCCCCCAAAAAAGTGCCTTTTCCACTATAAAAGCCTCAATTCTCAAAGCCAAAACCAGGTCCTTGTTCCCCAAAAATGCCTTCTCCCACTACAGAAACTCCAATTCCCAAAGCCAAAACTGGGTCCTTGTCCCACCAAAAAGTGCCTTTTCCCACCCAGTTCTCAAGCCCTAAACCGGGTCCTTATCCCCCCAAAATGTGCCTTTTTCCATTATAAAAGCCTCAGTTCTCAAGCCTGAAACCAGGTCCTTTTCCCCCCCAGAATGTGCCTTTTCCTACTATAAAAGCCTCAGTTCTCAAGCCTGAAACCAGGTCCTTATCCCCCCAAATGTGCCTTTTCCTACTATAAAAGCCCCAGTTCTCAAGCCCCAAACCGGGTCCTTGGCCCCCCATAAAGTGCTTTTTCCCCGCTATAAAAGCCTCAGTTCTCAAACCTAAACCTGGGTCCTCTTCCCCAAAAAAAATTGCCTTTTCCCACTATAAAATCCTCAATTCTCAAAGCCAAAACTGGGTCCTTGTCCCCCCTAAAAAGTGCCTTTTCCCAATATAAAAACCTCAGTTCTCAAAGCCGAAACTGGATCCTTCTCCCCCCTAAAAAGTGCCTTTTCCCACTATAAAAGCCTCAGTTCTCAAACCTGAAACCAGGTCCTTGACCCACCAAAATGTGCCTTTTCCCACCCAGTTCTAAAGCCTGAAACCAGGTCCTTATCCCCCCATAAAATGCCTTTTCCCACTATAAAAGCCCCAATTCTCAAGCCCGGAACCAGGTCCTTATCCCCCTAAAAAGTGCTTTTTCCCTGCTATAAAAGCCTCAATTCTCAAACCTGAAACCAGGTCCTTGACCCCCCCAAAAATGTGCCTTTTCTACTATACAAGCCTCAGTTCTCAAAGCCAAAACTGGGTCCTTTTCCCCCCAAATATGCCTTCTCCCACTATAGAAGCTCCAATTCCCAAAGCCAAAACTGGATCCTTGTCTCACCAAAAAGTGCCTTTTCCCACCCAGTTCTCAAGCCCAAAACCAGGTCCTTAACCCCCTAAAAAGTGCTTTTTCCCTGCTATAAAAGCCTCAATTCTCAAACCTGAAACCAGGTCCTTGACCCCCCAAAAAAGTGCCTTTTCCCACCCAGTTCACAAACCAAAAACCGGGTCCTTGTCCCCCCAAAAATGCCTTTTCCCACTATCAAAGCTCCAAATCTAAAGCCAAAACCGGGTCCTTATCCCCCTAAAAGTGCCTTTTCCCACTATAAACCCCTCACCCCTCAACCCCAACCACAACCCCCCCAAAACCCCCTCTTCTCCCCACACCCCAGCACTGAGGGAAGGGCCTCTTGTGTTTTCTTGCCCAGATGTGGCCACAATCGCTCCCGATACCCCCCGAAATCAGCTCCGTAACAGCTCAGTATCTAAATGAAGTTACAGTGATGTGACCACAGTTCACCAAAGGCAGAGCCCCTGCCAGGCCAGCACTGTGGGGCCATTCTCTCTGGGGCAGATAAAGCACACAATGAGGTTTTGTCCAGCCCCACAACCCAATTCAGAAGGGCAGATTCTCTCTGATATATAAATATATTTTCCCAGCTCTCACAGCTGTGCAGTGACCAATTCTTCTCTAGGGAGGGGAGAGGGACCGAGGTTTGGGGACAGTAATAGGTCTATTATGTCGGGGATGGAGAGAAAGAGCTCAACAGCCCTTTTTTCTTCTCTTTCTCCCCATCTCTTTCCATTAAGACAATTGTTATTCTCTGGTCCCCCACGCCCCTTGTTCCTGGGCACACAAACCCACCTCCCCCAGCGCTGGGGACAAGCTGTATGGGAAGGAAGTGGATTTGCTCTTGCTGGCCCCAAATCCAGTCAGTACCAAGTCAGGCTTTAAGCCTGGGGTCGGATGGAGCCCCGGAACTAAATGCTCCTGCTACAGTTCAAGCCCTGACTCTTGGTCCCCCGTCCTCCCAACACCGCGTTATCCCTACCCAGCAAGAGCATCCTGGGTGAAGATGCTGGGAACAGAGATCCCAGCGACCCACAGCCCCAGACACGCACTTTACACCTGAGGATGCAACAGAAGATGCTCACGGGGGATCCTTCCCCTTTATTCCACTCTGGGAACACCCCCCTGCAGTCCTGATCCAGCTCTGGGGCAGCAGCACAAGAGGGACATGGAGCTGATGGAGCAAGGGCAGAGGAGGCCATGGGGATGCTGCAATGGAGCAGCTCTGCTCTGGAGCCAGGCTGAGAGGGCTGGGATGGGGCAGCCTGGACAAGAGAAGGCTCCTGAAGGGGAGACCTTAGAGCAGCTCCAGTGCCTAAAGGGGCTGCAGGAAACCTGGAGAGGGGCTTGGGACAAGGGCCTGTAGGGACAGGCCAAGGGGAATGGCTTGAACCTGCCCGAGGGGAGACTGAGCTGAGCTCTTAGGCAGAAGCTCTTCCCTGTGAGGGTGCTGAGGCGCTGGCACAGGGTGCCCAGAGAAGCTGTGGCTGCCCCATCCCTGGCAGTGCTCAAGGACACAGGGGCTTGGAGCAAGCTGCTCCAGTGGAAGGGGTTGGGGTTGGAGCTGGAGGAGCTTGAAGCTCCCTTCCAACCCAAACCGCTCTGTGAGTCTGGTTCTATGCAGGACTCGAGCTCAGTGCTATTGGCATGCAGAGGTCCCCCCACACTTGCTCCTGGCCAGGTCTTGCTTACACAACCTCCCCTGCCCTCCCTGCTGGGTCACTGCAGCGTTACCCCCCCATAAGCGCTGCTGTTGTGGCACCAGGCCTCCAAGCGCATCCCCTCCGCATCTCCCAGAGGCAGCTGATAAATCACAGCAGCGGCAGGCAGGAGCTCAAGCACAATAAAACAACAAGGGAAGGGCAAGGCTGTTCTGGGTCACTTCACTGTGCTCAGCAGAGGCAGCAAAAGGACCCGTGGACAGGCCAGGCTGGCAGATGAACAAGTTCCTGCCTGTTATGGACCCATCATCCATTCCCAGATGATGGAATCATAGAATCATAGAATAGTTAGGGTTGGAAAGGACCTTAAGATCATCCAGTTCCAACCCCCTGCCATGGGCAGGGACACCTCACACTAAACCATGTCAAAGTAACCTCCCCTGGAGCATTGTGTGCAGTTCTGGTGTCCTCAACATAAAAAGGACATGGAACTGTTGGAACAAGTCCAGAGGAGGCCACGAGGATGCTCAGGGGCTGGAGCAGCTCCTGTATGGAGATAGGCTGAGAAAGTTGGGGCTGTTCAGCCTGGAGAAGAGAAGGCTGCGTGGAGACCTCAGAGCAGCTTCCAGTGTCTGAAGGGGGCCTATAGGGATGCTGGGGAGGGACTCTTCATTAGGGACTGCAGTGACAGGACAAGGGGTAATGGGTTCAAACTGAAACAGGGGAAGTTTAGATTGGATCTAAGGAGGAAATTCTTTCCTGTGAGGGTGCTGAGGCACTGGAATGGGTGCCCAGGGAGGTTGTGAATGCTCCATCCCTGGCAGTGTTCAAGGCCAGGTTGGACAGAGCCTTGGGTGCCATGGTTTAGTGTGAGGTCTCCCTGCCCATGGCAGGGGGTTGGAACTGGATGATCTTAAGGTCCTTCCCAACCCGAACTACTCTATGATTCTATGATTTAAAAGGCAAAAACCCTGGGAGCGATTTGCTTCTGATGTGGAACCGTTTGAACCAACCGCATCAGTCTCTGCTTGGGATTCCCTACATCCGAGGTGTAAATTCACCCTTCCCACAACACAGCATGGACCAGCCAGTCCTCCCGGTCACTCACCCCACTAAGGAGACATGAAAACCCCTTTGAGAGCCCCCCACTAGAGTAAATCCCCAGCAAAGCAGAGGAACACCCTAAGAACAGAGCAGGGGGAGCAGGACAAGCACAGCTCTCATCTCTATTGTCCAAGGGGAGCACAGGAGCAGGCAGGGAAATGGGCTAGATATGTTCTCTGGAATAACAGAGTGCCTTTGGGCAACAGCATGAAGGTGTCTGTAGCCACAATAGAGCCATGGTATCCCAGGCTCAACACCATTCCACCTGCATGGGGCCATTAGCACAGTCCCATGTGCTAAGTTACTGTATGAGGAAGATCCATCAGTGATGAAGAAATCCCACTCCCACTTTGCATGGGGAAGGCAGAGGTCAGAGCAGCCCCCCTCATCCCAACCAAAGCAAGCAGGGTGTGAAGCACAAGCTGTGGCTCCTAACAGTGTCTGAATGGGGCTACAAAGATGTTGGAGAGGAACTCCATCAGGGACTGGAGTGATGGGACAAAGGGTGATGGGTTCAGACTGGAACAGGGAAAGTTCAGGTTGGAGATAAGGAAGAAGCTCTGCACCCAACATCACCCCTTTGAGCTGGTCCCTTACTGCAATGAGCTCAGAAGCCAG